ACATACAGAATATTTGTTCACAAGACTTTTGAGGACTGGATGTGGTAGACTAGAGTTTTTGCTACAAAATGATGTGAAAATCACCCTGTTTACTCGCTCACAGAAAACAATATATTGATTTAACATTTGTAAAACATGTTTTGTGATAGAATGCCCTTATGCGAGGGAGTGAAATATAGAAATCTTTAGTAACATTATAAATGTCTTTGCTGAATTAGTATTAATCCCAATTTGGAATGGAGAAAAATAGAGTTTAGGCTTTTTTTTTTTTAACGCTGGTTCAAATGTTTAAAAATATTTTAAGATTAGACTTGTTTAAGCCTAACAAGGAAAAACTCACATTTCCAAGACTTTTCATTATTTGATTACATTTCTATGACAATCCCAAGACGGGAAATATACAATTTTAAAACTCCCTGAACTTTCAATGACCGTGCAGACACTGAACATTGTGATAAGGAGATTTTTTAGCTCACCTTTGAGTTCTAGGCACTCGTTTCGCTGTGTCAGGTCTTTTAAGTCCTATGGGGAAAAAAATAAGTAGAAAGAGTTTACTATTGAGAGATGAATATTATTGGACAGGTAGGTCATTAATATAACTCGTTTAAAAAGTGTGTGCGCACCTACACCTACAGACACAAGGATCAATAAATACGCTGACTAATACACTGTGTGTGTGTGTGTGTGTGTGTGTGTGTGTGTTGTAACATGTCTCTGGGTTACCCTACACACTGACAAACAAATGGACTAAGAGCTGAAAGCATGCCAGTATAAATGCTGAACTGATAGGTCTGAAGGCTGTGTAAACACTATGATGTCTGTGCTGTGAAGCACCAGGGAGCAGCGGCCCTAAACCTGTTCTGTGATCAGCAAAGACTTGGAAGCATTCAGAGACATTTAACGCTGCCATGCAAGCAGCATCTGACCCTGAGCTTCCTAGTGTGACTTCAATGAGCCTCGTGTTTCTGCTGTTACACAAGCCATCTCCGGTCATCTTTTCTCACCAATCACAGACAGCACTGCATTACAGGTGCATCTCGATAAATTAAGATAAAATGCTTGAAATGGTGTAATTACTTAGTTTGTCCAGCAGAACGCGCTCTATTGTTTGCTACTGGATGAAACGATTTAAAGCTTATGTCTATGGAAAACCATTGAAACTTTGAACGTCCATATCTCAGTAATGGCGTGGTGAATCCGCACCAAATTCGGGGGATCCCTTTAGCTCGAGGAACCCTCTCGAACGTGAATTGAGTGTACGTCTAGAGGCTCGCTTTCGAATGAGACCACCCGACCGTGAGTGCCCTGCGAAGTGGACTTCACATGAAATTCCGCCATGATTCCAGTTCCAAGGGAACGCACACGTTACATTCAAAGGGCACGAGACATGAATTTATATTGTATTTACAACGGTATATTATGTCACACTTCTCTAGTAAGTTTCGTCTGTGTGTGAAGACAGTAGAGCAAATCCGTGAATGTATGTTCCAAAGTGAAATAAACTTCAACGGAATAAAGTTGAATGGAATCGAATTGAATTAAAGTTGAATAAACTTCAACTTTACTGTTCAGTGCACTGATGTTAAGACTTATTTTGGATAATAAAGTTAAATTGTTAAATGCCCTGCCTCAATTACGTATCTATGTCACGCCATTGTAAGTGTTTGATCACCACATTTGAGTGATCATTGCAAAAAATTTGTATGTATATACTGTATTCTATATATATATATATATATATATATATATACATATA